TAAACATAACATTAACTTGCCTCGTTTGGCAAAAAAGGTAATGTTAGTGGTGTTTTCCTTGATCCAGCTGTACTGCATCTTCACGCACTCTCTCTTCACGTTATATCTTCATGCCTTTTAAATCAAGCAAGTCTTAAATGGCCTTTCCTTTTCTTGACGATTCCTCTGATAGCTTTTGTTTGAAGGCATTAAACTGCTCCAAAAACACGAGTAACTTACTGCACTTTACAACTGGTTAACGCGGATGCGCTCCGCACGAAATAAACCACATCACCGACAGATAAAAGTCTATAAACCAGTTACAACAAGGACACTATAACACATACAATCAGGGAACTTCCACGAGTGAGAACTAAATCTCTCAATGTGTGACGGTATGCATAAAATGATAAACGCGACGACTCCGACATTCATTTGCCTGCAAGCAGTGGTGGACAGTAACGAAGTAAATGTAATTCGTTACTGTACTTAAGTAGCTTTTTTGCGTATCTGTACCTTAGGCCTACTCAAGTATTTACATTTTGAGAGACTTTTACTTTAACTCCACTACATTTCAAAGTCAAATATCTTACTTTTTACTCTACTACATTTTCAAAATCAGTCGTTCCTTTTTATTTATGAGTGGATAAAAACGTAACTGGACAAACGAGCCACCAATCAGAGTAGGCTACAGCGCGCACGCTTTGTTTTGAACTTGCCTTGGCGGTTTCCACTAAGCGCGAACCAGAGCCGTTAAATATGAGAGTTGCGAACATAGATGGTTGTGACAGTGATCTCGCCTCCGCGCGGTCACGTTATTCCTGTAGCTCTTAATAGTTCCAAACAAATCGCGTTGACAATGATTTTAAGCGCGACAGAGAGCAGCAGCTATTATTGGAGCAACTATCGGCTGCTCCCATAACATGGAATATAGAATATGTAGACCTATGTGTGGGTGTGTGGGTGTGTGTGTGTGCGCGCGCGCGTGTGTGTGTATGAGTGTATATATATATATATATATATATAAATATATATATATTTAATGGCGTTGTGCAGGTTTATGTGAATGTATCATAAAATTAAGATGTTAATAATTATGACCATAGGCGCTGGAGAAAAATATATACAGTAAATACTGTAAATGTTTTATACCTTATGGGAACAGTCCCCTTCCCTCCAAAATTAAACACACACAAAAATTAATTCAATTCCAATATATATACATATATATGTTATATATATATATATATATATATATATATATATATATATATCAGACTAATTAATGTCATTTCATTAAAGGTGCCCTAGAATGTGAAATTGAATTTATCTTGGCATAGTTAAATAACAAGAGTTCAGTACATGGACATGACATACAGTGAGTCTCAAACACCATTGTTTTCTCCTTCTTACTTAAATCTCGTTTTTGAAAAACACCCCTGAAAAATAGTAGCCTGGCTAACGCCAGACCCAATTCTCGTTGAGACCAAGGGGGTAATCCATCTACCGGAAGTTGAAGCCGGCCGGGTGCCGCCATGTTGTAGCAGAACTTCACTTGCGTTAGCATTTCCATTGACTCCCATTCATTTTGGCGTCACTTTGACAGCGAATAACTTTACATCTGAGGCGTTTAAAGACTCCATTTGTCCATTATTTATTTCTAAAGAAACACGACAATGTATAAAGGGCTCCATTACCTTCTATGTTACATTATGGCCCCGTAGAAACAGATTTAGTAAAAATAGGCTAACGATTGCGTCATAACCACTCGACTCTGTCGCGCTGTACAGAAATTACCGTACAGACAGGAGGAGAAGCTCAAAGGCAATCGGGGGGACGCCCCGTCAAGGGAGAAGCCCATAGATAATGAGTCCATAAAAGCAACGGAATACTTACTCCTGCTCACTCACGCCAAAGAACTCTTTGCTCAAGTTCCCTGTCTCTGCAAGATTAATGTTGGCAGTTTTCACGCACAGCTACTAGAAGATTAACGTCTTGTCAGACAGGTTGCTCACGTCATCAAGCTTAGTTTGAGTCGGTCTGCGCGTCAGAAACGGAAGTTCTCAAAAATCGCTAAAAGTGGGCTTCAACTGTCTCAACTGAGTTCCAATGAGATCGCTCTGTCCATTTCTTTTACTGTCTATGGTTGAGACTTGGGTCTGGGAACCACATGTTCATTTTCTCGTATTTGAGGCGTGGTTTACGAATGCCCAGAGCTGTTTATTGGGTGCTAAGAATGTCTATCAAATGCGCCTGTACGTAGCTCATAGCCAATCGTTTCGATTATACCAGATGACGTATGTAGAGCGACAGAAATTAGACGAGGGAGACGACGATGGCCGATGGGCCAGAGATTTATGTGTAGCCTACACGATGGCGTGTATCTAACATGGTATCTAACGGCCGTTTCACACACCGCATGCGTGAGCGGCGCGTATTTTTTTCGGCGTGCATGTTAAGCAATGAGTGCATTCACACCGGGAGCAGCGCGTGAGCAGCAGTGAAGCGGGGGTTTCGAATCTGTTTTTTGCTGCATTGCTCACGCTAAATTAAAGTGAAAGCACACTTTTGATGGACAAAAATAAATGTGATTTCACACAAATATTGCCACAAAAAGTTAGACTCTAGAAAATAAAGACTCTAAAATATTTATAGAAGATTTACCCGGTAAAAACTTCGAAAGTATGACTGAAACTAATAGATTGGAGCCATTTTCTGGGTTGTTTTGTTGTATTACATTTAACTTATATGCGAATGTTGTACACCTCCCCCTTACAAAATTTCAAGACTATCAATGTTATAAAATGACCAACTTCTAAAAACAAATGTATAGTTGTCTTTGTAAAGAATTGCTCGCTTATATATAATGCCGAAGTCATATTTCAATGTCTTTGGAAAACAAGAAAAAACACAAAATGACTTAAGCAATTATGCTATGAGGCTAACGATATGTAGCTTTGGAGCCGCTGCTGTGACACTGTCTACAAACGCTTCCAGTGTGAATACTCTCGCGCGTCTGCAGCTGCAGTGACGATGTAGTTACGCTGTCGCGCTGCTCAAGTGCCGCTCACGCTTGCGGTGTGAAACCCATGTGTGAAGCGGCCGTAAGGCTGCATCGAAAGGTAACTTCGCGTCTACTGCCATGTTTGATCCATAGGTATAAACAAACTGCTTCGGTGTGTCGCATAGACGCGTCATCGTCTTGCTGCTCCCTCCCCGTTCTGTGATTGGTTCCCTAAATGAGGCGAAAATTTGGTCCATGGTATCCATACAGCCTTTCAGCGTGAATAAAATCGCGCTGCGGGAAGGCAGTATGGGGAAACCCAGACTAGAAAAATAGGCGAATCTCCACATAACACCGACTGTGACGCAACAGTCGGGATCATTAATATGTACGACTCCAAGAATTTGCATATGCCAGCCCATGTTCAATGCCAGGCGGAACTCCGCAGCCGAAGCATAGCAGTTGCTCAGTGTTTGGATGTACACATGAACACAAAAGTATTTTTTATTTCCTTCATCCGAGCCTCTGAAGAAACAATGGGTTAATTTTATTTTCTCTGGAAATGTCCAAACATTTCACTGACGACTGTTTCCTCAACTTGGGCCAATACAGAGCTGGCCTCGGATCGAGCTACCAAGCAACACTTTCTGATGTGTAATTGTTCAAGTTCAGACAGGTAATCTTTCTCTCAAAATCGTTCAATACTGTTATGCATCATTAAGTCAAGCCACTGAAGCCAGTGACTAAAATATTAACTTCACATCGTTTCTTTTTAGTAGGATGAAAAAAAAACGTATTTAAATTGTGAATAAATTATATAAAGAAAGCGATCAAAGAACAATCTTTCCACAGCGCGAGTTTATCTGGACACTTGCCAAACTCGTTATGACTTCAATGACGCACGTTACACGGCACAACGAAGCTCTTACTGTATTTACATAATCGTGTTTGCATTGGTGAAAGCATTAGAGAGAGTGCAGAAACTGCATTGCAATGATAAGATCTTCATGCTCGCGATCAACAGACTGTCATCTGCGCGCTCAATGCTCAGTCATCACGGCAACATTGTATGTGATGGGAATAGATCTAAATACTTTAAAAACATCTCACGATTCGTTAATCTCGATAGCTGTAATAGTAAAAACGTATAATAGCTGTAGTAAAATTATTCGAGAGAGTTTCACATGTAATACATAGCTATTTCATATGCAAGTATGTCAGCCAATCACAGCAGAGGCCGGTTACACACAGCAGACACGGCCCTTCAAACAGAGCGTTCAAATCAGAGGCTAAAATCAGGCTAGGAAAAATGCCTTTTATTTCTAAATTATGACTAGTTTTGATCTAAAAAACATACTAACATTATAAGGGCAACCCAGGAAACATTATAAAATAATATAAAAAAACATTCTAGGGCACCTTTAATAGATTGGTGTGCCAAGACGGAGTGACATTAGTCTTCACTTAGACTGAGTTAAGCAAGAGTCTTGTGACAAATTATAATAGGACATTATAGCCATAAAAAAATCAAAGTACTTGGATACTTAAGTACATTTGAAGGCAAATACTTTTGTACTTTTACTCAAGTGAATGTTTAAAGGCAGCACTTCTACTTTTACTTGAGTAATATTTTACCTTGAGTATCTTTACTTTTACTCAAGTACATGGTATGTGTACTTTGTCCACCACTGCCTGCAAGCCAGATGGCAACTAAATACTGTTGTGTTAACAGCTTATTTGACATTTAGCTAAATTACCACAGAAGCGTCAGAATGGCTTCCACACATCCGATGTACACTGGTGCAATAAATTCAAAACCACATTTCCAAAACTGGTTAGTTGTTGCTTGTGGTATGTGTTGTAACAGCACATAGTACAGCTCTCAAAAAATACAGTAGAGAGCAGCCTGAAGTACATCTACCTGTTTTTCCCCCATAAAGGTTCTTATGATCGAGGCGACAGTGAAGCGACTCAAATTTGGCCTTACTCGTAGCCCAGCCTCCCTCATAGTCATACCATGGACAAACACATGGGCAAGAGTGGCACGAATTTCATCCGAGACATGTCTCCTTGCCCTTCACCTTCCTCCTCCACCACCTCCTCCACCACCTCTTCCTCTTCCTCCACTCCCATCTACTCCTCCTCATCCTCCTCCTCCTCCACTCGAGTCCTCAACCTCTTCCTTCATGTCTTTCTGGATCCATTGTTCCAAAACCCAGTGAACTGACTCTGGCCCTTTTATCTATTGATCTATCTATTGAAGGTTCTGATTGGTGTGTGACAAATGTGTTTCCACTTGGGTAATTGTGTGCTAACCGAGCTGAAGCTGTGCTGACTTGAGTGAACAATATTGAATGCTAGTGCTTTCTAAATGACAACATGGTGTAGGCAATGAGAAATGAAGGGATTTGTGTGTAGAGTTTTGCAGTGACAGTTCAACAAATCTGACTCATGTGTCAAAACAGGGGAATAGTGTTTATAGTTTAGGGAAATGGGTGTGCTTTTTGATAAATGGCGTTATGGTTTTGAAATTTAGTGTTTAACCAATCAAGAAAAACTGTAATAATTAACGATGATGATCGCTCAACCATAAATATAATTTCAAACACCATACTACAGTTTTTAACGTTTTATTTGTGTCGCAACAAATTGAGATATACCAGCTGTCAAGAAAAAAAAGTTCAATTTAAATGTAGGCTGAAAGTTTAATTAGGCCTAATACGTTTTTTAAAGGAATCGAAGGATATCCCATATTAACTTAAACAGATTCGCTTTTACAATTAAATTATGTATTTAAAAGAGTCAGGTGTCCTACTTTGACAATAAATGAAGGAGCAAAATAGCCTGAGGTGTGCGGGTGAAGCAGAACATCGCTCACAAACATCTATCAGGCTCTTTTAAGAACAGCGTTAGATTATGGTTGCCTAGTATGTCAGCATCAGAATCAAACCTTAAAAAAACTTGATGTGGCACAGGCACAGACGCTTCGGATTTGAACTAGAGCATTTAAATCATCACCAGTGAATGCATTACAGGTTGAGGCAGGAGAGATGCCTTTACGTATAAGTATTATTTTGGCGTATTGGATAAATTTACAAGGACATAGCGGGATACATCCCTCAAAGGTCACCGTACAAGATTGCTCAAAACATAGTAGAACTAATTCATCATCATCATCATTCTTTATTCAGGACATACAAATAAAATGGTCCATAAGTACACACAAAATAGAGAAAAAGAAAAACTGTAATTATTACAGTTTTGGATGTTTTGGCTAAAGGATTAATAAAACTTGAAAAAGTTGATATACAAGTACCGTTATGTAGAGCAGATATTAAAACACTTATAAAGGAACATACAAACAAAATATGGCAAGAATACTGGGATATAGCTGATACTGGACGACATTATAATGTACAAAAACGAGTAGCCTATAGACATAAGCTTTAGGCTGGGCAGAAATCCAAAAGAAGAAAATATCATTAGCCTACTCGACTTAGAACAGGTCATGCTGGTTTAAATTTCACATTACATTGAATAGGAAAACACCCCACTGGACTTTGCACCCACTTTAACACACAAGAGACAGTAAAACACGTTTTGTTCGATTGTAAAAGATATGAGGAAGAAAGAATGGCGTTATAAATACAAGGTGGAGAACAAAATATGGGGAAAAAATGTCTAGGAAATTATTTAAAAAATATAGGGATAAGTGAAAGAATTTAATATGAATATATAGTTTTTTTTTTCTTTCTCATCCTTCCTTCCCGTCAAGCTGCTGTCCATACTCCAATCTAGTAGGTGGCGGTAATGCACCTTTAAGTTGGTTTGCCAACCGCCAATAAAATTTAAAGAAGAAGAGGGTGGGTGGGCCATAGACAAGGGGGTAATCCATCGACCGGAAGTTGAAGTCGTCCGGGCGCCGCCATGTTGTAGCAGAACTTCACTTGCGTTAGCATTTCCATTGACTCCCATTCATTTTGGCGTCACTTTGACAGCGAATAACTTTACATCCGAGGCGTTTAAAGACTCCATTTGTCCATTATTTATTTCTAAAGAAACACGACAATGTATAAAAGGCTCCATTACCTTCTATGTTACGTTATGGCCCCGTAGAAACAGATTTAGTAAAAAATAGGCTAACGATTGCATCATAACCCATCGACTCTCTGTCGCGCTGTACAGAAATTACCGTATAGACAGAAGTAGAAACTCGCGCGCAATCGGGGGGACGTCGAGGCATAAAGTCAAGGGAGAAGCCCATAGAGAGTTGTAAAGCTGCTCCTGCTGCGAGCTCATGGACAGCTAATACTCACGATCTCCGGCTCTGCAAGTTTCGGAAGGGAATGATTCAGATTCCTCTTGGCACAGCTACTAGAAGATTAACGTCTGTCAGACAGGTTGCTCACGTCATCAAGCTTAGTTTGAGTCGGTTTGAGTCTGCGCGTCAGGAAGGGAAGTGCTCAAAAATCGCTAAAAATGGGCTTCAACTGTCTCAACTGAGTTCCAATGAGATGGCTCTGTCCATTTCTTTTACTGTCTATGGCCATAGACAATAGAGCCTAGTTATGTCTGTGGCCCTGTCCCAATACCCGCACTTGCGCCCTTGTGCCCCTCAATGCGCGTTCTCGCTAAGGGGTGCAAGACCGTAGGGTGTCCCGATCCTCTAATAGTGTTCTTCAGGGGTGATCATAAGGGCACTTAATGCACCCCTTTCGCAAAGTGCGCATCAGACCTCACTTTGCTGTGGGATATTACCCAGAATCCTTGTAGTGTTGTGACGTTTCGAACAGCTAACCAATGGGGGAGAATGGCTGCTATGGTGCTGTTCGGGAGCGGAAACTCCGAAGATCAGTGTTGCCAACTTAGCGCCTTTGTCGCTATTTTTAACGACTTTTCAGACCCCTTTAGCGACATTTTTTCAAAAAAGCGACTAGCGACAATTTTAGCGACTTTTTGGACAAACCTCAGTAACCTCAAAATGTTATCAGTACTGTCCTGCGAGCGCGAGGTCTTGCTTTCTCCCTGTCGTCACTCTCTCTAGCTGCGTCTCCCCTGTTCAGTGAATGGCTGAAAGGAGCGCACGGCCGCTGACAGACGCGAATGAGCAGTGTTTTTCCACGGACTTATCACTTATCTGCTTCTCTTTTAGTTTGACCATTTCAATTTTATTTATTTATTGTGCTTATTACTTGTAACACTATCACAGAGCTTAGTTCATCCGGTTCCCTAACTCTCTCAATTCAGATAATGTTCCACATAGGCCTATACAAAATGTAATCATTCACTATATTATAGCTACTCGTTCAATTGTCTGACAACAGCAAAAATAGGAAATGAGAACAGCTTTATTTGACATTCGGCTATATTATATTGAATAGAGCATTAAAGGTTCTCTAAGCGATCCTGGGTGACGTCACTTCTTGTTGACGTTCGAACTATTGTCAAACAAAACGGAGGCTAGCTAGACCCTCCCTCCTCCTCATCCGCACACTAACCCCCCAAACCACACCCCCAAACCCTTCTTGTCGGTCATTGGCTGGAACAGTTTGTTATGTTTTGGGGAGCGGGTCGCTGCAGTTTGTTTTTGGTGCTGTTTGTGAAGCATGGGCTGTCTACAGAGATCGCGTTTCTTTACAGTGTGTTCAGGGGACAGGCAGCCAGCGGATAGTGAGGAGATGTTTGCTGTATGTGACAAAAAATGTTTTGGCCTAAAAAACACATGACATCGCTTAGAGCACCTTTAATTTTAGAGAGAAAACGCACTAGGCTGACAGAACGCAAGTACGGCGCGATGACGTCATTAATATGCTAATTGACGTATGACGTCATCTAGCGACATTTAGCGACTTTTAGGGAAGGCCTTAGCTACTTTCCTTTGAAAATAGTTGGCAACACTGCCGAAGATAAAGGAAGCCGGTATGGTGAAGTGTTTTTCAAGGCCGCGAAATTTAAAAATATTAGTGTTATCGTGTCACGAAATGTAGTTTTAAGAGTTTTTCAGTCGAGAATATAGTTGTTTAAAGCTCAAATCTGTGGTTTGTTTATAAAGATAGCGCCTATTTAAAATTTTGATCTGAATTTTTCGGATATCCAGGGATCAGCGGCGCCCGTGGCGGCGCCACAGCGCTCATGTACCCCGCCTGGAACAGCCTGCTAGTCATTCTGACGTTTCCCGCGGGCTCTGTGTCTAGTGGTTAAACATGAGCTATAAATCGGCTTGTGTATATCTAACAGGCGATCTTTGGTCTCATTAATCTATGATTTGTTCCCTGGCAAATCGTTTTGGCTGAGGGCAAAGTGAAGTTTCATAACTTTATATATTTATGCTATTTAACTGTAACGTTAGCCTGTGACTTATGTTTGACTGAATCTTTTAACTTGCTTTATTTCTTGACTTATATAGCTTCTTATACTTTTTAGGCTACGTATAATTTAATAATGGCTATTATTGATCAATAAAACTGAAATTTAACAAAAAGAGACAGGGTTGTGTCATTTTATTTCATATAGCCTATGTAAGACTTTTAATATAGCCTTAGCCTATATATAATATATCACCAACACGTCATGTATTTTTTCATGTATGGGATGGGAAGAATGTCATATATCAATTTCCATAATAACATAATTAAAATTGCATTTCGAATCGCTGTGAATATGGTAAGGCAGTATAAGCTCAGGTAAACCCCAATCACAATTTATCTTAGCCAAAAACTGTTTTAATATTAATAACATTAACAGAAAGGTTGGTAGCTAAGAGTAAAAAAAGATATAATTTTTTTCATTCAAAGGATTGTGTCAAGTTACAGCTATTATAAGCAGCACACACATTAGCCAAATGAATGGTGTTTGCTCTCCTGATCACAACAGAAGTGGCGTGTGCAAAACTGTCCCAATTCTGCTCTTCACAGCTTTGGGCCCTTGCGCACTTACTCCGCTAAGTGCACTTTCAACAAGTGTCCAGTTCCAGGAAGGCCTTAGGGCTCAAGTGAGAATTGGGACTGGGCCTATGGGTGCGGCTATTAAGGTGTGAGGGCACACCTGTTTTGTTCACACAACAAATGTGATCGGAAGTTCGGTTCTTTTCCGCGAATCGGTTCTTTCGGACAGTCCGGTTCAAAAAAACGATTCACCAGTTAGCCTATTATACGTCCTCACGTAATGACGTCAATTCTATCATGCCGGCGGATAAAATTATTCAAATAAAGGCATTTGAAATCATAACTTCAGTTAAATAATAATGACCATCGTCATAATCATCTTGGATAAGTTTCATACATTTACGCTTTGCAAATGAACCCTGCAGGCTACAGACGATGTGCAAACGCGGATGTTTTACATGTCTTAAATATATAAGTGAATAAACTGGTCTTCATCAATTTGATTGTATTTGTTATTAAATAAACTTACATTTCACCGAATTCGGCCCCTCATTTAAGTCCTCGTTTCACCCGTGCTCATGTATCAGCAACACAACATGCAGTTCAAGTGAAAGTTCGGTTCAGAGACGGTGCTATCACGCATGCTCTCTCCAGCTCATCGGATCTCCGTATCGAACGTGTCCGAAAGAAACAATTCTCGGCTCTGTACTGGTGATTTGAGAACTGCTGCAACAACCAGAACTTGACTCGAGAACTAGCTGTGTGTGCTGAGCTGAGAACTGATGAAACTGTGTCAAAACTAAAAAATCGATGCATATGTCTGCAGTAGGCTATGTTTAATAGGCTACGTTATGTTTTGGTTAACACATTATAAACATTTACTTGCAAGCACCCTTAAAACCTTGGCAAGAGTTTACATCAAAGATTTTATCAACTTACTTAGAAATTGAATTAGCTGTTCCTGAAAATACTGTTTTAGTATAGTCCTAATAATAACCTAGCCAGCCTACATGTTTAGTTTGACAGTTTTACAATTGTGTTTCTAAATAACAGTAGCCTAATAAGACAGTATGTGATAAACATGTTTCCAACATGTTCTATTTTGTTACACTTACTGATGTTCAACAAAATAGCTTAAGAAACATGCATTTCGTCCCTCATAAAAAAATTGCACGCATGCTCAGCTCATCGGTTCTCAGTATGTCGAACGTGTCCGAAAGAAACAGTTCTCGGTTCTGTACTGGTGATCCGAGAACCGCTGTACCTGTATACGTTCGGCAGTACGCGCATGCTCAGTATCGTGCTCATCTCAGCACAACATGTCTCAGTTCAGTGAACCGTATAGTAAAATGTAGGCTACTCCGGGATATATTTTTTTTTTTTTCGAGTTTGAGGGACTGTCCACTGATCCACTGAGCGCTGATCCACTTTAGTAACAGTGGATCAGCGCTGACTCGAAACGCGAACTGTTTTGAACGATTCAGTCCGATTTACTGTAGAACTGTTTACTGGTTTACTGGTTAGAACGGTTCACTAAAAAGAACCGGCTCAAAAGAACGATTCGTTCACGAACCGGACTTCACTTTGCTCCCATAAGAATCGACTGGGACACTTAACCATAGACAGTATTGACGCGTTTCCGAGCGGTTCGCCAGGTGTTGTTACTGCAGTAAACCGCGGACTGATGTAAGCAAATGTTCCTCATTTCGTGAGTTTAATTTACATTACAGTTTTTTGCCGTACTTTACAGTGCGCATTAGTAAGGAAGAAACAGTCTGGTATCTCGAGAAATGTGAGAATGCAAGGGGAATGGAGATTTCTTTCTTTTATTTTATATTTTTGCGGGAATTGTAGGTCAGAATTTTGGTCAAAATACGATAAATTCTTAGTTCTAGGTAAGTCTACATGGTTAAGTCCATGTGTAGGCTAATGTGCTCTTAAAATGATCTTATTGTAATACTTGCCTACTGATACAATAATAAACCATTTCAGAATCCAGGTAATTAAGACAAAAGGTCAGGGCCAGCAATTAGGGAATATGTTAAATCAGTCTAAAAAGATAAATGAAGATATTTGATAAAGTATATCGACTTTTTGTGGGCTGTATTTGTTCTTCCAAATACATTGTTTATTTGTAAAACATCAATACAATTAATGTTTAAAATAACTAGGTGTCCCACTTTGACAATAAAGGTTAGTTTATTACATGAAATGCTTGGAAAATTGTGCTTTGAGGCTCATGAACAAGTTTTTATTTTAAAAAAGAGGAACCTGTATGGTGTTGTCAAGATCTTTAGTTACTTAAAATGTTTTAGTGTGAGGAAGTCATTTGGGACATATTTTACCACAAAAACAAAGACAAATTACCGTGTGAAAAAAATGTCACACTTTACCTGTATTATAGACCTTATTCAGAGCAGCACCATGACAGGTATGAAAGCAAGGCGGTGAGGGATAGATTTACTGTGTTTTCAGTGGCATTCGCTGTAAAAAAAGCTGTATAACGCTCCTAAACACATTTTCCACAGCTCATATTGTCTGTCTGGAGTTTTTTGTCTTCTGAAATTTCTTGGAAATATATTTTTGCAGTGTTACATCAGCAGAACAATCCAAAAACACATTAAATAACAGTACAACCCACTGAAGAGATGCATGGCTGTCTATCCCTCACAGCCTCACTTTCATTCCTGTTAAAAATCAAAGATGGCTCTGCTGTGAATAATGTCTATATGTCGTCAAACTCGACACCTTGGGTTTTTAATGAGAGGCATTGGATTTCAGCCATCATCTCAAATGCAGGAATAATTTTACTGTTTAACACCTGACAGTCTCATGTCTATCTTCAGATAAAGGTATCGTGACAAGGGTGTGACCCTGCAGACCCTCATGAATGTGAAAAGGTCAGTTTCTTAAAATAATCAGATAACATCATGTTATCTGGTACTTCCACAAAACGTAATGGCATTCAAGAATTAATAATAATAATAATATTTGTAATGTGTATCCTCGCATGTATTCAAGCCAAGGTGCAACATGCAAATAATTATATTTATTTATTTTTACTTGATGGTTACGCCATTTCCGAGTCATTAAATGTAACTTTTCTTTCATTAAATGTGAAAGCTGTCATTGACATGTCTCTTTTTGTACTCTTTCAGTTGTGCCTCGTTCACAAAGATGTCCTTAAAGAAGATGTCTCTTTGTCTCCTGGTTCCAGGAATATCTTTACTGCTCTATTTGACTTATATCCCTTTGACAGAAAAGTGGTTGCGAAGCACAGAAGAACCAACCAAGGAACAATTTCAGGAAGAAGTAGGGATTTACCATGTCGCTTACCCCAGAAACTACGAATTCATCATTGACCAGCCAGATATATGTGAACAACAAAAGCCCTACGTGGTGGCAATTGTCCCCGTGCGCCCTGGAGACTTTGATGCACGCAATGGCATCAGGAAGACGTGGGGTGCACAAAAGGTTTTTGGGGACAAAGTGGTGCTGGTTCTGTTTCTTATAGGCTTAGACAGTGGAAACGGTGAAGAGACGTTGCAGGAGCAACTCCGGAATGAGAGCCAACAATACAAAGACCTTCTGCAGAGCAACTTCCAGGATTCCTACAGGAATCTGACCATCAAAACCATGGTGATGATGGAATGGCTCAGCAAAAAGTGTCAACAGGCGTCCTACGCGGTGAAAGTGGACGCAGACGTGCTCCTCAACATGAACAACCTGATAAACATGCTTGTGAGTCTGAACACAGTACAACAAAACTACATGACCGGGTTAGTGTGGTATGACAGCCATGTAATACGAGACCCGTCCAACAGGTTTTTTCTCCCCTACGATGTGTACTCCAGGGACATATATCCTCCATATCCTCTGGGGATGTGTTACATAATTTCTATAGACCTCCCACAAAAGATTCTACTGGAATCAAAGGGAATTAAGCCCATTTATATCGAGGATGCATATCTTGGATTGTGTATGGAGGGTTTAGGTATCGTCCCCACCAACCCGCCAAACATGGAACTGTTTGTGGTGAGACTACTGCAGTACAATCGCTGTTACTATTCTGGACTAATAGCAATACTTACAGAAAACACAAATCAGATGACTTCTTATTGGACAGATATTTATTCATCCAGCCAACCATGCTGAGGTGGAAATATCCCAACGAATAGAATATAACTCATATTATGTTTCTGACAGTAAGGAAAAATCATGTTACTTTGGTGTACTGGTTCACTTTACATCAGTTTATTTTTACAAATGAGTGTGTGTGTGTGTGTGTGTGTGAGAGAGCATTTTATTTGTTTCTTTTAAGTGAAACCATTTGCATCATGAACATATCCTCAGGACCAATTAAACAAGTGTTACATGTAAAAACATGTTTATTTTTTATTGTTTATTACTTGTTGATTTACTGTTTTGTTTGAGAACTGACATGCAGATATTACTTTTAATACATCCATTTAATATTTGAGTTTTTTTTTTTTTGGTTATTCCCATTATTCTCAGTGGTAATGTAATTAGATTTGTATTGCTGTAATACAATAATTTTTACATAAATTAAAAAAAAAAATGCACAGTTGCGATAGTCTTTTCTTCCCAATTGTGACGTACATCTGAAACAGCTTGTCGAAACGAGAACAAGTGTTCTGGCAGTAAACACATAATCAGAGAAGAGATGACAAGGGGAAGTTATTTTATATCTAGAATACGAGGGCATATTAATAAAAAAAAATGCACAGATAAATAATTTATTATAAACTGCAATATTCCATAAAAAAATATATACATTTTTGTCACGGTGACTTTAAATATGAAGTGTTAACTAGCATGAAATAATCATTTTCTTTCAGAATAGCCTGCTAATTTAAATATCCTTCAAGTCATTGGTCATTTAAACCTACATGGACACTCCCACAGCATTTATATAACCATACTTTCATCCACCTAGAACTGTAGCTGACTCAGAAGGACAACTTTACAGTTCACACACATACTAAACATTTTCACAAAATAATTAAACCTTTAAAAATATGATCTTCAAGATGTTTTAAACTACTTTTTGGTCGTCATTTAACTGATGAAGAAAGTCAATATTTGCTTGCATGAATTAAACTATCTGGACTATTTGATTCTGGTTTGTATGCTAGTTTATAGTTAATTCAATTATTAAAGAGAATCAGTCAAAGATTAATGAGAATTTGAGTTTGGCTGACAGTGGAAAAGCAGTTAAAAAGTTGAAACATCAACAAGAATTACCTCTTTGTGAGAGCAGCTACAAAGCAAACAGGACTAACCTAGTCTTGCACGAAAGACCTGTCCCAGGCCCGGATTACAATAACCATCATGTTTACTCTCAACATGAGGACAGAAGAGCGTCAGTCAATAAATGGGAAAACAAAGTAACTTGCGTAAAAAGTAATCTGATTACATAACTCACGTTACTTATTGAATACATGTTATTCTCACAATGAAAGTCAAATATTCATGTCATTGATTCTCCCTACTTTTTTAATCTGTTAAATTTTCCTTTCTATAAAATGCCTACTGCTTATATACGTTCAGAAGGTCTTCCAGGTTTGTGGAATTACACACAGACTGGCCGCTAGTCATGTGACTAACTGAAAACTGAGACCCACACAGCATTTCATCACAGAAATCATTTTGCATGGGTAACACTTTAGTTTAGGGACCAATTCTCACTATTAGCTAGTTGCTTATACAAGCATGCATATTACTATATTGGCTGTTTATTAGTACTTTTAAAACTCATTTTAATTTCTTATTCTGCATGACCATATTCTACATCATTAATCCTACCCAATACCTAAACTTAACAACTACCTTACTATTATTAATAAGCAGTATTTAAGAGTTTATTGAGGCAAAAGTCGTTAATAGTTATACTACAGGGCTGTTGAATGCTTGATTCTGATTGGTTGAGAAACGTTCTAAGGTGTGCAATTATTTTCAGGGAAACGCACGGCTAAAGTAGTTCCAGGCAGGTCTTGACCGCATTACAGTTCCATATCACTTCGCGTAGTTAACTGTACTAACGGAAAATAGGATACAATTCATAACAAGAAAAACATGCAGCCACATGCGCTTGATCTGCAATTTTCGATGTCTAACTTCACAATCAATGGACACATGCAGTTAAATTTTAATAAATAAAGTATATAGCCCTATATTACGGTGGCCGAGAGAGCTCAATGCGCTGCAACTGAAGAAAACACATGCAAATAGAAGAAAACGCATGCAAATAGAAAAAAAAAAACGCGTGCAAATAGAAAAAAACACCTGCAAATAAAATAAAACGCATGCAAATAGAAACAAACGCGTGCAAATAAAAAAAACGCGTGCAAATAAAAAAAACACCCGCAAATTAAGAAAACATCTTCATCAGTTTCACAACACACGTGTGCTCCAAATACTTACAACACCACTGTGGTATCCTGAGATTTAGGTTATAGTTAACAGCAGTTCCTCTCCACATGCTGCACATAACACAGAGCACAACGGAAATGTTTCCAGGGGAATCAAATAAGCGACGAACCCGGCTGGGACGTGCTGGCATAGATATTCATAAATCTATGCGTGCTGGTGCTTACAGCTTAAAATTATACTTTATTTATTTATTTGTTTATTTATTTATTTATTTATTTGTTTGTGCAAAACATACAGAGATTAAATTTTTTTATGACATACAACTTGTATACAATGTACAAAATGTAGTAACAATATGTTCAATGTCATCAGAATACAAATGAGAAAAGAACAATGAGCTGGAAACTAAAATAAATAAAAAAGATAAAGAAGAAAAACATGAAGGAAAGATATTTATCTATAGATCAGTTACACTGTACAAATTGTTTCATGTTATTACATTTTCATAAAGAAAAGTTTCGTAAGAAATGTTAGGGTCCAAAATTTTAAAGTTGAGACACACAGATATAACGCATATTTTAACAGCTTTTTTGTAAACTAAAAATAAAAATGTATTTGCATCCGTTATGTTAACAGCATTATATTTCTGTTGTAAGACCAGCTGATGGACACCGTGCTGCGTTGTCATGGGAACATCCCAGGGTTGTCTTTAGTTGCTCCCTTCATCAAGTGCGCTCCACACGGCTTAATTACAGCACACTAGAGCCCTGCTCCCTCCACAGTCCCACTTTAAGGGCGCTGGAATCTGCCCTTCGAAGGGAGTATGGCATAGGGAAGCTCACGAGCAATAAGCACGTCTCAGCCGGGTTCGTCACTTATTTGGTTCCCCTGGAAACATTTCCATTGTGCTCTGTGTTATTTGCAGCACGACTGTAGCCTATTTGGTTGTGTTGTGAACTTTTGCAGCGCGTTTCCTTATTTGGAGCACACGTGTGTCGTGAAACTGATGAAGATGGTTTTTTTTTATTTGCAGGTGTTTTTTTTTATTTGCACACGTGTTTTTTTCTATTTGCATGCGTTTTTTTCTATTTGCACGCGTTTTTCTCTATTTGCATGTGTTTTTTAAAATTTAAACTGAATAGGCCTATAAATAATTGATAGTCCTGCTGCACGGGTTTTCGTAATTATTGCAAATAATAGGCTATAACAAATTAATAATTATTGATAGGCCTATACTTGTTAATATGACGTTGTGTTTCATTTATTACTCATTAATCAGGAGTTATTATTAGAAAAATAATGCACACCCGCGGTGTAACGGCCACTCCGCTTCGCGTCGTGACCGCATTACCACCTCGGGTGTGCATTATTTTTCTAATAATTCAACGACCTGTCGTCAATTATTCCTTACTTATTAGTAAGAATTGGACCCTAAATGAAAGTGTTATCAACTTGCATATGTTGCCATTGCATATGCAATCAACTCCTGATTCACACATTAATTATTCTTTTGATTATTATTAAGTTTCAGTGAGTTATTTAAACATGCATTAATGTCTTTGAAAGGCTTTTGTATTTCAATCACATTAAAATGTACAAATTCATATAATTTCATTTGCATGCAATGCAGGGATTCCCCAACTTTTTGGTCAGCTGAAATTTCTTTGACCTAATATATTCACTTGAAGTAGGCTACCCCATGAGATTTACATTTTTAAATTAAGTTAATAATAAAATGAAGTCAATAAAATTAAGTTCACGGTTCTCTGATGTCGGTTAATGGTCACATGACATGCAGCCAAACCAATAAAATATTTTTTTAATAGTGTTTTTATTTAAAAAAATGCTTATTTTAATTTTAAATGTCTATGATTTAATTACTTAATAGCTTTTCATTAAACTCAGGAACCCCTGTAGTTCCATCACAAACTCCAGTCTGAGAAACCCTGACGTAATGTAATATTTAATGCACTACATGTTGTGGAGATTATTCTACTCAAATCAATGAAGTTAGGTCAAAAGTAATCTAAAAGTAGTCCGATTATATTACCTAAAACGTGTAATGTAATGGATAACGTTAGTAACTCCAATTTTTGTCATCAGTAGGCTAACCGATTACAATTTGTAAGTTGCTAATCAACCCAGCACTGTGTACAGTTTACCTCGACACTTCAGTTTACATTGTCCGATCTATTCAGTCTGGTTTCAGCTATAGATTCACCACAGAGCCTTTAATGTTCACATATCATTTTTTTTCTTTTGTCAAAATTCCAAATCTGTCAAGCGACTTGCGCCTCAATAGAGCGCTGAAGACTGAGCTGGAGAATCCGGTTTAGTTGCTCTTGCGCGCCAATTCAACTCTTGGCTTTTGGTGTTTGTTTCCCATGAATTATGAGTTCTGCCCTGGCAGCTCTGTCTGTCTTGTCTTTGTTTAATGTTTCTATGTTCGTCTTGTTTCAATGTCAGACGGCTCCGTATGCTTTCGAATTAATCTTGCGGTACTTTGATGTCACGCACCGATCGGTCTGCACAGCGCCGCTTCAAATCGAACACACTACTTGTCTAGTCCTCGTTTGCCTCACCTGTCCCTTATGTGCTTTCCTCTGCACCCTTTACCCTCTTGTCTTTGCCAGTTCGTTTTGTGCCACCCACGTGTAGTCAGCTTTTAAACTGTGTCTTTAGGCTGCATACGAAAGCTTAAAAATACTGCATTGTCGGAAGGCCTCGGCTCAAGGTACCTTTGAATGATGTTCGCTTAACTTCCTGAATCCTCCATCTGATGGATTTTTGAAGGACAGTAGATGTATCCTTC